TATGTATGAAAAATATATCAAAAATGCATGTGGGCACTCAACTGAAAGCTCTTGATGAGTGTAACATCGGGATGAGCTTATATTTTTAAGAACATTAATAGTTAAGAAAGTACAGTGCAATTTAACAAATGTCATTATTTAATAAAGCAAAATTTTATTTATTTAGATATATTTCACAAGTCACGGCAGTCACATGGTGACTGTAAGGTTGCTAGTTATAATATCTTAACAATATAAACAACCGTAATAAATTAATAAAAAATAATAAAATTATCTAATGCGTAGGTCTTGTATAAAAAAAAAAAAATAATATTATTTCTCCACTTCTGCGTGTGAAAAAAGTTTCCAGGTGACCTCTTAATGAACACGGGGAATCCCAATTAAACGGGACATGCAGTATGCAATGAGACTTTTTCTCTTTCGTCTATTTTTCTTTTCCATTGTTCGGTAAATTATAATTATCTCGGCGTTAGTAGGTTACTGCAAACTAAAAAAAAAAAAAAATAAATAAATAACCCAAACCAGGTTTAAAAAAAGCGTGGCAAACAGAAATAAACAAAAAAAGTTGGTACAGTCATACCAACATAGTACAAATTGTGTCTAGTCTGGCAGTGGTGCCGGCGTATAGGACTGTGGAAGCCTGAAAAACCCAGGAATAGGTCTCGAATGTAAGTTTTAATATTCGAAAAGCGAGCCCACCGAGATAATGGCCACAGCGAAAAAAAAAAAAAGGAGTAGAAAAAAAGTGCTGGCCAGCATATAGTATCTATCCCGTATAGAAGCGTAAGCGGCAGACGCAAGACTCAGTGACCGTTTGGGTAATAGCAAAAGAGCTGCCTCATGAATATCAACCGCAGTGACCCAAACACTTTGCACGTATACTCTTGTACTAGCTACTAGCTTTTATACTTTACACTCTTTTCTTTACTTGACTTTACTTATATCTGTGTCTGTGTTTATGTGTCTCTTTTTGTATCAAACTAACACCCGGTTAAACTTTTCGTGAATGTTTAAATTATGTTGCTTAGTGCCCGATACGCTTGAAAAACTTTCCGATGTATGTTAAAACATTCTATAACCGAAAACAAATAAATTATCCAGGCGCAGGCAATCGATTATCCAACAACTAAACAAACAGTTTTGTCACAAAACAACACTAAAAAATAATACCAGAGAAATAAATCGCTAAATCGGTCCACCGGGACACAATAAGCCTCCCGCATTCCATTATTTTCGTAAACTGAATACGTTAGAATTGTTTTTTTTTCCACGCTAAAAATTCGCAATATTTAGCTCTTTTTTTTTTTTTTTTTTTTTTTTTTTTATTAAAACTCGAAAATTGTAAAATTTTCAATTTAATCTTTTAGAGACTTTTCCTCTGAAAATTTTATTCTTTAAAGTGAACCATGTTGCATATGTAATGTATAATTTATAATTGACACAAATGTTATAACATCCATATAATTTAAATCGCAAACATACGGAAATTTATTCAACATTTTTCTTTTTCGCGCACATACATTACATCCATTTCCCGTGTACATAAATTACCATCAAGAAGTACTTATCCAACTAAAACAAGTACAAAGTAAACAAAATTCTAGAAATTCATTTATAAAAATTATTTTTCACCACCTAAATTTTTCACAAAGATCAAAGTTATAATATTGAAAACCAAAACTTCTGATAGCTATATTAGATTTTATTTATAATTAAAAAATAATCTATTGTTTTTATTTTTCTCAGTTTGACATTGAAAAAAAAAAACCGGCTTCCCGCCTTTATTAATCCGCAAAAATTACCCATGTCAAAATTTCGCATACAAAAATATTTCAAGTACAATAATTTCTCAAACAAAATTAATCTGACGAAAATTAATCACTATTTATGAAAATGTTTCTATATCTTCAACAATCAAATGGCCCTTTAATCATGGTTTTTTAGTGTGTTATTCGAAATTAGACCAACTCATATGCTTAATGTGAATGAACTAACGATTTAAATGTAGCGTTAGTAAGTAAGGGTCCATTATATCATTAAAATAGAATGAAGAGAAGGAGAAACAATAACAATGTATAAAGTATATAATATACGGAAAAAATATAAAATCGGCCCCGTCGTAATAGAAACTAGAAAAATTCCAGTTTGAAATAACATTTTTCTAAATTCAATTTTTTAATTTAATATTCAAAGCTTTCAATGTAAATATTACATTTTACAATGTAATTCTTATAAAATCTGTAATAATTACAATCTTAAACTGTAATTTTTCGAGTTTTCTTTTCTCCGTGTCAGAGACGGTCACCAAAAAAACTATATATTAGTAATTATCCTTCAGATTTAACTCTCCTGTAAAGAGACGCCTTAGCGACTATACGCCATCTGTCGGAGATTCTCAGCACTATTTTTTATTAAAAAATTCTATACAGCAATTAATGAACCATATTAAGCCACATAAAATGTTCTGAATGCAACTTCATATTTATAATAGGTTTTTATAAAAAAAAGGTTGCTCTACTTGTCTCTATGGCAAGTAATCATTTTTTTTTTAAATGCGCTGTAATCTTAGACTTGTAAAGTCTATAAAGTCCTTATATACAAAAAAAAAAATTTACTTAAATCAAGTAAATAATTTTGAAGAAATTGATCTTCTTGATTTGAGTAGAAAAATTTTTTAACTAAAATATTTTTGTAGGTTTAAGTAAATTTAACTTGATTCAAGAATTTTTTCAAGCCAATAAAACTCTTAAAAATAATTTACTTGGGTGCGTTTGCACATATGCAGCTTAAAAAAAAAAAGAAACTTACACATGCCAGTCAACAGTAGTATCATTAGGATCTTGATGCCTGACACACTTGTTACGCAGCTCACCCATGTAAACTTGAAGAGCAAAAAGCGCGAAAACCATCAAACAGAAAATAGTGAGGGTCATGACTTCCGCGAGTTGCTTGAAACTGTGCAAGAGGGCATTGATGATGGTCTTGAGGCCTGAAACAAAGTAGACGTATTATATTCTCTACGCTGAAGTTTGCAAGTTCTTCGAGTTTAAGACTCATTCGCGATTTATATTTACGAGAGCATTCAAACAGACAAGTAAACTCATCGTGATCTTTGAAGAATGTAGAATGTTGAATAAAGTTCTCGAATGGCAATTCTGATTCCAAGTATTTTTCACCGCGTTGTTTGTAGTACATGCCATGTTATAACACACTCAAATGTCCTATTGACCTACTACTTTTATTTCTTCTTTTAAATTTTTTTTATTTCCTCGAGTGTGTGGGTACTTGAGCGAGTCATTAGAAGACTATTCATTCGCCGGGATCTTTTCGAGTGGTACCTCCATCTATACCTATAGTCGTCGTGCTGATGCCTAAAGAAAGATCGAATTCTATGACGTATTGTTTCAGCCTGATGACGAGCTGCTCTATGGCTATATATGGATAAATATCTGTCTATCTATCGGCGGATTTCATCCCTTGCACTTCGAATTTATTTATTTTTAGTTGCTGTTAGTTATGTTTCAGTTGGCAATAAACCTCGCTTCGCTGATCCTTCATTTCTTTTTTTCTAATTCGCAATCTCAACTTATGGAGGCAATCTAAATTTTTTCCTTCACAATAACCTAATGAAGAATTTAAAAATTGAAAAATAGGTTTTTTAGCCAAACTATAGTTTATTTATTTTTTGTTATAAAAAATAGAAAACTGTTTTATTAGATGGCAAATTGACGAAAAAAATATTAAAAGATTTTGAGATTAATATTTTTGACTTGAATTATTAAAAAGTACACAGAAAGAAAAATTTATTGACTGGAGAACAAAATTCTTGGCTCAAGTGTGAAAAATTTTTGGGTACAATTAGATTTTTTTAATAATTTAAAAAAAAATATTGAATTTCATATTTTTCATTTTTTTTACCCTAAATTTTATGATTTTGTAAAAAAAAATTTACTATTCAATCTTTAATAAAAAAAATTGTAATAATCACAAAAAAGTAGCACATAAAACTGTTAACAGTAGATAAAAATATTACCATAAAGTAATATAAAAAAAAAGAGGTCAATTGTTTCGAACAAAACAAAATTAAAGCGTATAATTATCAGCAACAATATTTTCTAAGTGTGGATTTAATTGGCGACAATAATTAAATTATAAATTACCGTGACTATAAATGGCGATCGGTTATTGAGGATTTAATTAAACATGCGGTAATCAGAATATATGTGTTTAAGTTGCGTACATGCGAAATTGGAAGGTTAATTTTCAATATTATCATACGCTTATATTACAGTGACCAGTATGATAGCGAAGCGGTCTAACGCCTGGTTTTGAACTCCGACATCCGCGTGTGTCTTCTCTCTATATATATATATATAAATTAAATCAGTCTCGAGGGTACAAATCGACGTTGACACAACTCGCGTGTAATTGCTCTATGTTGATGATATGTCACGTAGTAGACCTCACGCTCATGATCCTCATTGCCAGTTTGCTATTAGTTTCTCTCATCTCCAACACTGACCTCTACACTCCAGTCACAGTAGACCCCAGCCCGCTCTTCTTCATACTCATGCATATGCTAATGCAATAAGTTGCCCACATTTACATCCGTACTTAAGAGTAAATACTTTTTTCCAAACTTTCACGGACAACTTTCATTGCCGAAGGCTAAATACATATATTTATCTATTTTTTACTTATTTACAAATATATTACGCGTTTTTTCTGTGGGTTCAAAGCTTACGCCTTCTCTTTTACGGAGCAAACACAAAGCTTTTTTTTCTCTATTACTTAATTTCCCGCGCACGTGTCGGTAATTAATTGTATCAACTCCTGTGCTTGAGGTTTAGCTATTTTTAAATCTAGCAAAGCTTTTTCTTAATGCTCATGATTGTCTTTGAGGGGGAAATTTATTATTTTAATTTATTTTACATTTTTTATAGACTTTAAAGCGAATTTAAGCTTCAAATTCCTAAATTACCGACAGTAGAATCATTTTAATTAAATTAATGAAAAAAATTAGTCTTAATTTGTGAATTTTTTTGTGATACTCTTTTTTATAGTAGAAATTTAAAAAATTAGGTACAATATTTCATAAATAATAAGGTAATATCTCAATTTATTCCCTCTTTACACTGTTTTTATTTATTCATGAGCTATTTATCATCATTATCAGGTAACATGAATTTTAAAGCAAATTGTTGGATTTTAATCTTGATTTTTATAATATTGTCTACAAAAATAAGCTTTTTAATGATTTTTATAAAAATGAGATTAAAATGTCTCGGCTCTTTTAAAAATTCATACCTCAAAAGATATATTAATGAACACTGTATAAAAAATCGTCCTAATAAATCAAACTTCACTTAAATAAGAAATTGTTTTAAGGAGATCCACGCGAAGTAGTCAAATTGTTAAAACTTTCTGAAAATTTGTAAATTTAATCTACATAGTCTAATAATTAATAAAAAAATTAAAAAACAGTAGGTTTCCGGGATATTTAATCAAATAATTAGTTATGAAAATTGTAAATTTTACGTGTAGGTAAATGGAGATTCCACCAGCCGTGTATTTGGTTAAGAATTTAATGCAATTAACGATTTAAAAAAAATTTTATTTTCATTGAATTTGATTGAAAAAATAATAAGCTTTCAATTAAAACAATAAAAAAGTAGCTTTCCGAACGTATTACGGAGATATTTTATATTTTTTATGAAAAATCACTCGGAACTTCCGTTCTTTAGAGTCATGTATTTGACTTGGCAACACCGCTTGCGCAGTTACTCGGCGCATAAGTAACCGCGGTTTTTTAAATGCTATAAGATCTTAGTAATTTTAGTTAGACAGTAAACATAAATAAATTTGAAGGTTACGGACACTCTTGCGGTGTTGTCAAGTGTATACCGGTAATTCAGAGTGCTAGATTTTTTATTAGTCAATTAAATGTTAATAATTATTTAATGAGTAAATTTTTCGGAAATTTCCTCAAAAATGTTATTAATTAATTTAAAAATTAATTTTAAGATGCATAACAAAAGTATTTTTGCATATTATTTTTTTATAGACATTCTTTACACTAGGAGGATACTTGGCTCTCCTTAACGCCAATTAAAAAATATCAATTGTAAAAAATGAAATTTTAAGGTCATTGCTCCGTATTTAAATCAAAGATAAATTCAACACACCCAACCAAAGTATCATGAAATAAACACCGAATTAAAATAAAAACGAATTAAATAACAAAAGTATCAAATTCACTTATAAAAGGCAAATATTCATCGTTTAAAACGCAATGAGAGCTTGTAATTGAATTATAAAAAAATCCAATTACTCTTTAACTCACATTGGAATGTTTGAATTTTATAAATGAAAGTTATAATTGAGTTATGGAGAGTAATATATGTATTTTTAGCGAATAATTAGGGTGTAATGTTTGTGACAGGGAAAAAAACGAGAAAGAGAAGAGGCAAACATTATAAATCCATCTCAATTAGAGGACGGGGGTGGACAATTGATCGTCCTTTATGCGAGAAAGAGGAGGAGCGGAAGTCCTTCGGGTAAGAGTGGAATAACAGATAGCCCTGCGTTATAGATTACTATTTGTAGCTTAACTCTGTGTTCCACCCACAGTTTCTCGTCCTTGTAATTAATTCAATTGCCGAATCAAATTAACTGTAAGCTATATGGCTACTTACCAAGAGAAATGGGATAGTAATGATTTAATCAATTACTCGTTTGCTGACTGTACACTATATAATATACACGCGATATTATTATCATTGTCGCAATTATTATCAAAATTTATCGCTGTGTCCATTGATCTGTTGCTAATACCCGAAATATTCTTCTCTGCGCCTGAGAATGATTTAATTTTTTTATCAACTCATTAATTTTTTTTATCGAACTAGAATTTAAATTTACGCGCCTTGACTATAGAGTTTGCATATATTTTCATGCTTATGATATATTCGACCAATCACGTTACGAATAGTTTGATGCCACATATATTTCATCTCAATTTTATTATAGGATCGTAAATTTGCTTCAATTAGTTTTGATTGTTAATTCTTTTTGTGTGAGCACGTGAACTGGGATTATCGGAATAGTTTCTGATAAGATTTATGAATGTTTAATTTTGGGGGATTGGATAAAAAATAGCTGGTTGAAGGTAAACTTACCAGGCATAATAGAGACGGTCTTTAGCGCCCTGAGCACCCGGAATGTTCTCAAACCCGCTAAATTACCGACTTCCATTCCAATAGTCGCGTAACCACTTGTTATCACGACAAAGTCCAGCCAATTCCACGGATTCCTTAGATAGGTATATTTATTGAGTATAAAACCCTTTGCTATTGACTTTATCACCATTTCCAGGGTGTAGATTGCTAGGAAGATATATCTGTTGACAAAAATTATGTTTTTTTTATCATTTATTTTTGTGAACATTTACAAAATATACATTGAAAAAAAATTTTTCATTTTAGAAAAAAATTTTTTAACAAAATACTAATTTTGAACAATTTATTTATTATAAATGAACCAAAAAATTTTTTTAATCGACTTAAATTTATTTAGAGTAATTTTTTACTTAAAAAATTATTTTATTTAATTAAAAAAAAATTATCTTACTTTTTAAAATATTTTTTCTCAATTTAAGTTAATTTTTTTACTAATTTAAAAAAAAAAAAATTTCTTGAGGTGAAAAAATTCCAAAATAATTTTTTAAACATTTTAAAAATGTTTTTTTTTTTGTTTATATTATTTTCAATTTTTTTTAACACAAACAATTTTAATTTTACAATAATCAGCAATTTTTTACTTCAAAAATTATTTTATTCGATTAAAAAAAACTGTCAAATTTTTTAAAATGTTTTTTTTTTTATTCAGGTTAAATTTTTTACTAATTTTATACAAAAAAAAAATTTTCTTGAGTTGAAATAAATTTAAAGATAATTTTTTTAAACATTTTAAACATGTTTTTTTTTTTTTAATTATTTTTTTACACATAAAAAATTTTAATTTTACAATAATCAATATTTAAACAAACATATAAAAAGTAATAAACAAATAGTTGACTATAAATATATATTTATGTATCGTATATACTTCTAAACATATATATAATATTATAGGATGATGTAGGTTTAGTATTTTCACATGACCCCGGGGAAATTCGAGAGTAATACTTTCATCCGGATCTTGTTCGTTAAGTCGTCTACGTCGTCATCTACCCAGAAAATGAAGACATACAAATTTCACTGGGAATTTTCTCTGGCTAGACGAGAGAAGAGTAAAATTCCTAGATAAATCTCCCTCATATACTACACACACACACAGCCACTTCCACCTCGCGTATCGTTTCTCATCAACTAATTCTAATCGCGTTTAAGCCTTAGCTTAATCATTTATTACGATATCAAGGATCCTTTTAACAGGACTTAGTTCAACAGTTTCGGGTCATGCATAATACAGTACAGAGTACTTTTATCAATATCACCGTTCTCCTGATAATTAAAAATTAGATTTTATGGAAATTTATTTCTCTGGGGATAAAGTAGGCACTCGGCGCCAGAACCACAAGCGCATATATTAAACGAGAAATGGAAAAATTTACGCGACGCATTTCCCGATTTTTGGAGAAAGTAAATTTAGTTTTCTGCCTAGTTTATGGGGAAGAAAATTGATGGTTATCGGTTGAAGCGAGCTTAAGGAGCGGTGATAAATTATCTGAATGTTCGGGTTAATTGATCTTATGGCCGGGTTGGTTTTAAGTGCCAAAGTATTCACTAAAGTAGGATTTGGCAATCCTAATGGTAATTACTGATTTTTTTTAGCAATGTTTGGACTTAAAAGTCTCGGAAAATTTTATTTTTAATTTTATTAATTATTTTTAATCCTTAAAATCTCTACAAAGTGTTTTTTATTTTTTATAGAAATTTATTCAAACATTTAATTTGCTAAATCTACATTAAAAAAAAATCGAAAATAGTTTTTTTTTAAATATTAAATTAAAATAAATTTTATCATTACTAAATTTAATTAAATAAAATTAATTGACAAATTACAATTTTTTAATTTCTTAAAAAATGAATTATTATCAAAAAATTCTGTTTGTAAAACTAAAAAAAATTATTCATACAATATTTAATAACAAAATTAATTTGTTTGATAAAATTGAATAAAATAATTTTTTATAGTGCATTAAAAAACAGTTAAAGTTCTATAAAATGAAGTAATTAATTAAATTACCGATAAAAGATCTAAGTATACATAAAATAAAGATGTGATTTTATTTTTCACCCCAATTACTTCCGCATAAGTCATAAATAAAAAAAAAGGTTTGATCAGTTTCTAATAAATTTACGAGGAAATAATTTTTATTCGTGCCTTTAAAATCTTGTATCGAATATAATCCGGCTCTCGAAACAAACGCGGTGAAGCTGGAAGCTCGAATATGAGAGCAGCGAAAAAATGATGAAATAAAAAGTCGATACTACCGCAGAGGAGGTTTAAACCGGGAAAATCCCGGCGAAGATGCTTGAGACGGGTATAAAAAATTCAGTAATACAAGACTGCCAAATTCATGTTACATCTATCCTATCCTATCCCATTGCTACAGTATTTGGTATATATACTGGATAATGTTCTAACTCGGTATCCGGTCAAGTCAACCGTTAAAGATACATATCTGTATCTAAGCTACTGTTTCGTTCTCCGGTTAAGAATTTACGAGTATTGATTTTATTTAAAAACCAGAAATGCTCAGAATAATAATAAAAATCAATAATAAAAAGAGTAATATGTAATAAACAATAAGGGTAAAAAATTTATACGATTTTTATTGAATTGAAGATATGTTTACCTTACCTTCAAACAAAATGAAATTTATCTTTTTTTTTTTTAATTTTCTTTTATTGAAATTAATCTTTCAAAGAAAATTTATCAATAATTAGAATTAATATTTCTTTGCTCAATTTTTATTAAAGACACATTAACAGTTTCTCTTGTTCAAGCAAAAAAAATTTCTATCATAAAAATTTTATTTCTCTTGAAAAATATTTTCTTTCACCAGAATGAATCTTTTTTAATTAAAACTTGTAAGGAATCAAAATTAAAATTAATACTTCTAAGATATGAACTGGTTTATGTTCCTCGTTTTTTTTTTTTTTTTTTTTTTTTTTTTTTCAATCTGTCCGCTTTTATTGACTTGAAAATATGCTTACAGTTCATTACCTTCGAACAAAAAAAAAAAAGATATCATTGAAATTTCGCTTTTTTCTTTTTAAAAAAATTTTTTTATAACTTTGGAGCTTTTAATTATTTTTTCTATTAAAATTAAAATTGAGAATAAAAATAAAACAGCCGTAAATTTTTTCTTTCCTCATTTTTTATAAAATTGTGCGCTTTTTATTGACGTTACAATATGTTTACAGTTCATTACTTTCAAACAAAAAAAAATGTATACTCTTAAAATTGCATTAATTTCTTGACAGACTGTAAAATAATAATAATATTTTACTAAAATTAAATTTTAAATTAAAAATAAAATTTCTATAGGCTAAAACTGCCCTATTTTTCCGTGACATGAATAAACATGAAAAACAAACACATTTCAAATAGTGTCTAAATTTTCGTTTGTCCCCTATTTTTCCCGCTTAATGGATTAAGAAATTTATTGTTCTTGTTATCGTGATAACGCTTGATAGATATGTTTATCGCACGAATCCGAGGGTGGAGATAATTATAATCATAATCATAACTAAAAATAATTTAACCATTATCACTATCATTATCATTATAAAATAAGAACAAGAGCCATAAAGAAATCGTGATCGTAACATATTCTTGGACTGCACGCTTCAAGTTGTGATATGAATTAAGTGTGTATAGAAATCTATATATACATGTTCTATGCTCTATGTGGTATGTGAGAGTAATTCTGGTCACCATGATCATATCACGCTAGTTGAATGTTCACTTGGGGACTAGCTAGCCTGACACGCAAGTAACAACTGTTCTTTTCTTTCTTGTGCCCGTAACATACAAAGGTCGGCTTACATTTCGTCTTTTCACCGATTATTTGTTATTATTTTGTTATTAAGTATGTTTTGTTTTATTCTATGCTAATTGTTATGTCAATAGATTAAATTGTCACGCAATTGATTCAAACTTTTAATGTTTGGGAATTAATTAAAAAATTTATTATTGTTATATATATTATTAAGAAATTACGAAAAACTTTTTGGCCAGTGTATTTGTATGATAAGATGGGTTTTTATCAGCTTGTATCTTTAAAAACGTCAATAATTAAGAAATTACATGGTATCTTGTCAACTAATGATATTTTTAAGGATATAAGCTCGTCTCGACATTACATTCATCGAGACCTTTCATTTGAGTACCCATATCAATTTTTCATATATTTTATATATTATATATATGTATATATGAAAAATTTATGAAAATACATGTGGGTACTCAAATGAAAGCTCTTGATGAGTGTAACATCGAAATGAGCTTATATCTTAAAAAATAACATACGTTGACAAAATACAGTATAATTTTTTAATTATATACATTTTTAAAGATATAAGCTCATCCTGATGTTATGCTCATCGAGACCTTTCATTTGAGTACTCACATCAATTTTTCATATATTTATATATTTTATATATATATATGTATATATGAAAAATATATCAAAATGCATGTGGGTACTCAAATGAAAGCTCTTGATGAGTGTAACATCGGGATGAGCTTATATCTTTAAAAATGTCAGTAGTTAAAAAAGTACAGTGCAATTTAACCAAAGTCATTATTTAATAAAGCAAAATTTTATTTATTATTAAAATTCTTACTCAGCTTCTTCGATCGGCTCGGTCATGCCGAGGAAGACACAATTAAGTACAATGGTCAGCATAACCATGTAATCAAAAAACTGGTTGGTACTTAGGAAGATGCAGCAACGTCGAATTGAATTCCAAGGCGAAAATAAAAACCAACTGTTGGTTGCTGTAAATCGGTGGATGTAGTTCTTGCGAAATCTTTTGGACACTACGCAGAACGTCTGTAATCAAAAATATTGAAAATTATTATTATTATTATTATTATATCTTAATTACTTAAAAATTTTCTTGGTTATTATTTATCTTAATTTTTATTGAAGAAAATTCATTAATTATCTTGGCCTATTTTTCCAAGAGTAATTATAAAAATTTTTTTATATAGGCCAGAAAAAGTAGAACGTGTGCGTGACCCAAATAGATTCGTGTGAATTTTATTCCCTAAAAAAATTATGTAAATATCTCAGTTAAAATCTTTAGTGTTAGTGTCAATTAAGAGAATTGGTATATTTTTGGACAAATTTATTTCTCGGGCTTTTAGATTGAGGGAAAAGGA